CACAATATACAGAGTGATACACCAAGTAAATAACATTTGTTTACTTTCATTTTACCAATCAGGATACTCTGATGATATTTGCTAATATATTTTTAGGTTGCCACAAAGAATGCCACAAAGAAAATATTATTTAAAACATGTAACCCTCAAAACTAAAGCATGACTACTATGCAGAAACGGGATCCCATAACCTTGCTGCTTTTGGTTTTCCATGCCATTTTCTCCATGATGCTATCTCAAGTCATTACTAATCTAATTATGCGCAAGAATCCTATTTTCTGCAACTGTTTTATTAGAGGGCAAATTGGGATGAAATTACTTCACACAGCCAACACCCACACTCAAGGATGAATTATCTAGCGAATGGATTATTCATTACCCTTGATATCTAAGCAAGGCCATTCCCTGGTCCTCTCTGTGGTTACTGGGCAGAGAGGGCATTGAAATCGAAAGGATTTCCATTTGGTAAGGTTACTAAGTCCGCACGATAAAGTCCAGGAATAGAGAATGAAAACACTGTTTGAAACAAGGATTTACATGTCAATCCCGCTCTCTGTCTACAGACCTGCCAACACCAGGATCATCAATCACGCCTCTGCCCAAACTGGCAAGCTGGGAACACAACTGTGATTGCTCAATGAGAGGATGCCCCCATTATTATTCAACCTCTTCTGGCTTGAGTGAGCAAGGGAAAAAAAAAAAGGCAGAGAATAAACACAACCAGTCGGAGGTATTTCTGAGACCCTTCCCCAGCGCTGGAAGAGAGGCAGGTTTCCATTAAATATTGCTTCATTCAGTGGCAACAGCAGGGAGATCTTGCAAAAGCAGAAACTGTTGCAGACCAAGTATCTTTATCTAGCCCTTCTCTTCTAAGGCATGGGTCACACTTACCTACATTTTCTATTGAATTCCCCTCAGCTATCTTATCTGCATCTCCACTGAGTATGAACTCCATGGCTCCAGGGCTTGTGTGCTCTATTTCTTTGTACCCTGAACACAGCAGTCGGTAAAAATTTCTGCAATAAATGCTCCCAAAACTCCATTTGAAAATTTACATCTACATTCCACTCTCTAGCTAAACAGTCATCTAATAAAATAGTTCATGATTCACTGGATTCAATCCTGAAGAAGGTACTGATTCACATACTTGGTTTTTATAGTAAATTAAATGAAACATCATCTGCCATTGAAGTGGGTCAGATCACACTAGGAATATCATAACTGATTCTTGTTGTTACCCAATTCCTTCTTACCTCCCTGAGTACAAAAGTCAAGACCAGCAAGTTTTGAAACTGATAACATGCTGTATCAAAAGCAAACATACAGAGACTTCCTGGTAATTGTTCTGAACATATCAATATGCACATCTAGTAACTTTTCAAACTCAGCAGAGCAATTGAATTAGAAAAATGCACATTAGTAGCCTTTAACCTTACATAAGATTTTCCAAAGTAATATCAGGCATTGTAATTTATCCCTAACCTCTTTTTTTCCTGTTTATTTTAAAACATTATTTTCATCCATTTTAAAGGCAGAGCAACAGAGACATGAGAGACTGAGAGCTCGCCAATCACCTGTTCACTCCTACAAATGGCCACAAAGCCCATGTGCAGCTTAAACCTCCACCGAGATCTTCCCTGTGGATGACATGGGCCCACACACTTGAGCGATGACCTGCCACCTCCCAGGAAGCATTAGCAGGAAGTTGAGTGTGAAGTAGAATGGCCAGACCTTGAATCAGGTACTCCAGTATGAAAGGTGGGCCTTATGAAGAAACAAGGGCTTAACCTCCAGTACCATAATGCCCGCTCCAACCATTAACTTCTTGAGTGTAGGTCAGAACAACAGATCATAAAGCAACGGATGCACTGTCGTGACAGATATCCATGATGTAGCACTTAGAGACATCATTTCAATGGTACTGATACGTAATTTGTCACAGAAACTCAATATAAAGAGCTTGCTTTATAAAATGCATACTCTCTACTATTTTTTCTTAAGATTTATTTATTGGAAAGTCAGTCACAGACAAAGAGGAAGAAACAGAGAAACGGAGAACGTTCCATTCACCGATTCACTCCCCAGATGGCTGCAGCTGGGGCTGGGCCAGGCAGAAGCCAGAAGCTTCATCAGAGTGGCAGGGGACCAAGCACTTGGGTCATCTTCCTCTGCTTGCACCAGGTGAATTAGCAGGAAGCTGGATCAGAGGTGGACCAGACAGGGCATGAAGCAGCACCCGACAGCATCACAGCCTACAGCATTACTAGCTGTGCCACCACACCAGCCGTGTCACAACACCAGCTGCATGCCTTGTGCTAACTTAGACAGCATTCTCTCCACAGGAATGAATGTAGCTCAGGAGGCTAATTGTGCAAAGCAACAGTGTGGGCAGGCAGTGGGCAGAGAACAGGAAAGCAGGGGTGGAAAGAGAAGAGGAAAGGCAGGAGGCTGTGAAACCTGAGTCCCTGCCAACCAGAGACACCACAGGAGAAGCTGAGAGGAGATTCATTTATTAAGATACAGCTGCCCCACCTCTGGCGGCTGCTGCTTATTCATAATACTATGTGCAAAGAAAGTTGAAAGCATTCATGGAGAAGTAGTCTTAGAAAGTCCCCATGAACAGAGGAAAGAGGATGACAAAGAGTGGGCTTCTAAAACCTGTGTAAAGCAGAAACGTTCCTGGGAGACAGGGGATTGGATCAGGTTGCGTGTGGTAAAGGGAGAGGCTATAAGAGATGTTACTCAGTCCCCTCTGCACCAGTGAATCTCCCAGCTGCACACTGCTCTGCAACAACATCCTAATATGGCATGGGGCCTTCCAGGCAGCGACCGACCACCCGTGCCAGGTCCAGCTACCTGATGCTCCGAAGGAACAATCTTCAATCCCACCGAATTTTCCTTCAAGACTTTCCCTCTTTCGATCTGCTAGTATAAACAATGTCATTTCTGTATTTCTCCACAGAACAAATTACATGGAATAAAAGACCAAGTATTATAACATGCTTCTAAGATAATAACTGGCAAAGCTGGGAGCCAATCTTCTTCTGTAAGTCAAATGTGAAAACAGAATCTATTTTGGGTGTGTGTGTGTGTGTGTGTGTGTGTTGGTTTTTTATTTCTTTTTTTTTAATTTCTTTACAAAGATAGAATCTAATACCATGATCTATAGGCAGCTTTTGAAGGATTTTCCCATAACTCCACATGTCAAAAATGATAATATTATTCATGCCCAATTATTTCTAAGAACCATATAAATCTACACATTGTATTCTGCCTCCATTCACCTCCCTGTGGCTGCCAGATCCCCTACTACATGAAGGGATAAAGGGCACAATCTCCAGTATTGTTCTATAAACAAGTCCTGCCTTCCCTTTGCAAGTCTCCCCTGTCCCTCACAATGACTTCTTTATTTTCCACAAGTCAAGTGTACTGTATGCACCCCATTCCACAACCAAGACTAACATACACACATTCACAGTCTCTTTCCCTCTAAAGTGAATTTAGATGACCCATGGACAATGGAAATCCTACAGGAACAGGCTCACGTGTACACAGTCCTGAACTGAAACTTGAAAGTGTCTGGTTTCAAGCACAACCAGTCATAAAGAGGCAACTTTTAGCAAAGGGCCAAAGGAATCCAAAAGACATCTTCCTGCAACCACAGCACTACTGTATCCACCCTTCAAACATTACAACCCAACCATCTCCTGAAACCACAGCTTATTCCTGATTTAGAAAAGTGAAGTTCATGGACTCCCTGAACTACAAGCAACCCCAGCCAAAAAGCACAAATGCCTTTCCTAAACCTGGCACTTACACAGCATCTGAACTAAAACCCCATGGCCGTTCATCTCCACGTCAGCCCACCACCGGTGACCACCTCCTTGACGCAGAAACAACTGCCATCTTCAAAGATGATGAACGAGTCCCTCTGGTGCTTTAGTTTAATAGCCAAGAGCAAACGGGTGAACACACACAATCCCCAAGGAAGGGCTGCATTCAATTCTCAGTTCAGGCCGTGGAAGTACTGTGTACCCCAAAGAACATCTTGCATGAAGTTGATTCACTCACATTTTAGCACTTTGGCTTCCCAACAGAAAGAGAAGAGCAGGACTCTCCCAGACTCTAGCGAGGTTTCTCTTGGCACGGGAAGAATGCGACCCACAAGGAAAACACAACCATGCGGAATGTCTGCACTAGGTTCTTTTGTAATTCTTGAACAAGCCTTCCCAAACCCGTGCCCAGCTCCAACCATTCAGTCTCCACTGCAAACATTCTGAGAGCCCAAACATTCTAAATACAAAGTGTGTCCAGAGATATTTCAACAGTTCCCCCTCTCTCCCAGCATGACTGGTACTTTTTTCTATTTCCCTTTCCTTTTCAGCTTAGAAGGAGGCAAAACATGCTCCTCCTGACACGAGATACCAGCTCTGGTCTGGATAGGAATTTGACAGAAATCCAAGATCCACTTTTGGCCAAGATGCGAAAGGTAAGCCCCTTGTGTGTGCCATTTCCCTGGAAGTCACATCCCAATGCCTGTTTAAATTTAAGCATTCCCATAATTCATCCATCTTGCAAGAACTATGCAAGAAAGCTATCCACCATCTCCAAAGTTTTCTTGGTACAGTTTCAGAAAAGAGTACCATGTCTTGCCCCGGCCTGCTCTAACAGGGGATGTCTCCCTTCCGTGTTGGTGGTTTCCCACCATACTTCACACAAGGCATACAAGCCTGTGGACCTGACGCAGGGGAAGGAATCACCGAGGACAAATCACAGCTACTGGAACCTTCTCAATAAAGACGTGTTTTCTAAGACGGACCTACTTAGCAGAGCATTTTTATTTCAAAAGTGTATAAGTGAAGGGTGTGAATTCCAATCCCAGGGAAAAAACTAAAGAAGTAAATGGAGAAAGCAAAAAATCATAAAGGGAAACCAGTAAGAGAAACAAACAACTCTACAGGACAAGCTCTAAGAAATGTTCAAACGCTTTTATATGTCACCTTTCCGGGGCTGGGTTCTGTATCTCCAGTTCTCATCGTCAGCTCCCACCTGCTGCTCGCCCACCGAGAGCTCCCCATCACTGCGGAACAGCCTCTTTGTCTGCCTGGACAAGGAGGAGAAATTTATCCAACTCACAGCACGTGAGAGAGAAGCAGCTTTGGGCTTCAGTCTGAAGGAGCCTTCCTTTTTCATCTTCTTTTGCATCCAAATCCACCAGAGACAAAGGACAGCCCAACAAACAAACAAAAACGCCTAGGACCAAGCCTGCTGCTTCCCTCTGATTCCGGCCAATGTCGAGAGTTGGGCAGGACATAAGGCAAGAAGATTGCTTCTGTGTCACCGGGTTAAAAAGAAAAGGGAGGGTTCGTTAAGCCAGAGAAAATAAAAAGTGCCACCCTAACCACATCGGGGTATTCGACTTGCAGAACAGATATCTCCACCGCCAAAAAATAAAAAAATAATTTTTTAAAAAAGTTCAGTTTTAACAGCCAAGCTGGGCGTTCATTTCAGGTGCACTTGTCCGGACTTTGCAAAGACCAGAGCCAGGGCACCCCAATCCTCTGGTGCGTCCCTAGCACCCCAAACCGAAGTCCTGGTCTTCTCCCAGGCATCGTTCTCCTACCAGGACAGAACAACAAGGCGACCGGTGAAAGATTCCCTATCAGGCCAGGCCCGCCGTTTCAAGTTCACCCACACAGGTTACTAGGGGAAAATTAAAGAGCTAAGCTCACTTGCCCCAGCACAGCGCAGAATCATAAACCGCCCACTTGCCCTCTTTCCCGTCGGCTCTGGGACGCGCCCGCCTGCCCCGGAGCCCGCAGGACTCCACAAACAATAAAACAGGCTGCGTGGCTGTGGCTGGGATTACACAGTGAGCGCTCCCGTGAAAGGCGATAGGCCTGGCCCGCACCAACCACACCCCATTGGCCGCAGAAAACCCCGCCTCTCCAACAACCAGTCCGCCCCCAGCCCAGGCAGCTCAAACTTCAGAACTACAGCAAAGACGCACAAATGCAAGGCTGCGTGCGTGCGCCTGAGGTGGACTGTGCAGGTAACAAAAGCACTGGATGATGAGATTTCCAAGAAAGTGAGATTTTTTTTTAAAATAAGGGGTGAGGACCGTGTCGCGGCAAATGCAGCTGTGCACGCCTGGTTGAGGTTAGGAAGTATTACCATCTCCAAGGAGAGTGAAAGTCAGGACTTCTCGCTAGTCCTGCACCTGCTGTGGGGACTCCCTCCTGTTGTGCCTCCAGGGTGGCAGCCCTGGGGCCACTTCTCCCTGGGTTTGGCTTCGGCTCTGTCATCCTTTTAGGGACCACCATCTTCTGAACCTGGAGACCCCAAGCGTTAGCTGCAGGCTCTAGTGCCAAGCCTCCCAGTCAGAGATAATCAAGAACCCCATAGTATATTGCACCAAGATGCAGCATTTTCCCCAAGGCCAACATAATTCCAGGGGTTGGAGGGTGTTTGCCAGGGGAAACTGTGGCACTGACCCTTCCCCTGAAGAATTCTTCAGACTAAGATACACAAGTGACAACGAGAGAACCACATCTTTCTCTCGCTCACTCTGCTTAACTTGGCACTGACCAAAATAGACAAAGTCACATGTTCAACAGAAACCAATAAGCAATTGTAAGTTACAAATGCAGAATTTTGCATCATGTCTAATTCACAGAGATCTGAAGAAAGTGGCTCTACAAGCTAACCAGAGATAAAACAGCTGTAGGTGAAAAGCACACAGCCAAATATACCAAGGATGGGCTGCTCACACCACACCTTGAAACTACCACAGAGAACAGCTACCCAAGGCTGAAATGAAGTCAGCTTAGGAGGTAAGAATGGGGTCGGTAATGTGGCATAGTACACTAAGCCTCAGCCTACAACACTGGAATCCTATATGGGCATCAGTTCAAGTCTGTGGCTACTCCATGTTCAATCCAGCTCTCTGCTAATGCGCCTGGGAAAGCAGCAGAGGATGGCCCAAGTACTTGTATCCCCATGGCAGACCTGAAAGAAGCTCTTGACTCCTGGCTTCGGCCTGAACTAGTCCTGGCCATTGCTACCATTTGGAGAGTGAGCCAGCAGGTGGAAGTTTCTCTCTTGCTCTCTGTCTCTCCTCTTCTCTAGATGGTTCTTTCAAAAAAATAAGAAATAAAGAAAAAAAAAAAAGCTGGTTAGATAGACTGTGGTTTAAGTTCCACACACTACACAGGGCAAGTCAGGCCCAGAGAAAGGATGTGCCTACCCACTGTGGCACAGAAGAGGGACTCATCTGGGTCAGGTGACACCAGGACTGCAGCTCCATCACCTGCATGGAATTTCTGCTGCATGGCCAAGTGCCCTCTCTCCTTGATCACTATTATTAACAGCAGGAATGACGGGCAGGCACTCGGGTTCATAGATGTAGCTTAGGACGCCTGAATCTCAGACAGGAGAGCCTGACTCGAGTTCTGGCTCCTTGCTCCATTTCTGATCCAGTTTCCTGCTGCTGCACATCCCAAAGGTAGCAGATGATGCCTTCAAGCACCTGCTTCCCTGTCGACCACGTGAGAGAGGCAGATGAAGCTCTGGCTTCAGGTTTGCACTGTCCCAGCCCCCCTAGTTCCTGCAGCACTGGGGAGTAAGCCAACACATGGAACAGCTCTGTCCCTGACCCCTCTCTTTTCCTGAACCTTTCAAATACAATGAAAATAAATAAAAGTTTTCAAATGTTTTAAAGTGACAGAACACAGGATTAACAGAAGTTTATTTCAAAACTCAGCAGAAATAATTGCACACTCAATACTTTGGGTAAATATCAAAGTTCAAATACTCAGTATATTCTTTCTGACTGTAGGATGCCTCAGAGAAGCTGAAAATATAAAATGAAAAATAAGGAACAAACAAAAAAGATCTCATCAGAAAATACAGAAACAGTCCAAAGCTGTGGACCATTCTAGAGTTTCTTGAGATATCTCCCTCCCCTGCATCTATGTCACACCTTACGATCCACAGGCCACCAACAAGACACACAGTTCTCTGCTAGCTGTCTACATCCCAAACTGGCATCATCATTATTATTATTATTTTGCTTGAGATATGGAGATAGAAAGCTTCCTCCCATCCATGCACCCTTTCCCCACACCTTCACCCTCTCCATCCCTGGCCCAAAGCCCACAAGAGCCAGCAGAACAGATTCAGGAGCAAGGAATTCAACCTAAATTCCTTGCACCATCACCAAATGTCTCCCAGGGGTTCCACCAGCAGGAAGCTGGCATGAGGATCCAGAGCCAGGCGTCAACCGCAGGTGCTTAGCTGGGAGGTGATATGAGCATCCCAATGAGCCTCTTAACCCTAGACCAAAACGCTCATCCCCGCAGTGCTGCAATACTGGGCTGTTCTTGGGGTACCAGGAGTGGTGAAGGCAATGTGCACACACAGGAGCAAAGATGGATGGTGTCATCAGGAGCGAATGCGTTTTCCTATAGTACCCTCATCCCTGCACTTCTTTTGCCAGCTCTTCTGGCAAAGAGCTGACGGGACAGGCTAGAGGCAAATTTACTGCCAAGCTATAGAGGATACTAACCTGTCCACCACGGAGTTAGGAGACCCGACGAGGCTTCCACAGTCAGTGCTGCCATGAACGTCAAGACCCGGAGACATATTTGCACACTAACCATTTCTCCATCCACAAGCTAGCCAGGTTCTGTTAAACTGGGCCTTGACTGTTAAAATTTTTATTCACACAAGAGAAAGCCCAATAAACTAGTTACTTTTACTATTAGCCGAGAGTTCCTATTAGCCAAAATAGAAGAGAATGCACTAAATCTGCAAGAAATATTGACATTTTAACTATCCATGTTAGATCTGTACTCCAATTCACTTAGAGAATCCTACGTGGGTTGTCTGAGAAGCTGTTGCATTCATTCATTGTAGGAAGTACAATCAACCATGCATACGAGCTACCTGGGCTGTCACACCGAACAGCAGCAAGCTGGGGCAGGGCCACGTGGTACCTTGCACTTTGTGTATTTCTTTCACTGCTCATCTTCACAGTAACCCTGGAGTAGGATAAACCTCCTTTCTTAGTAGAAGTGCTTTTTTTCCAAGTAGCGACAGATCTAAACTTCACAGTAACAAAATATCTTAATCATTGTTTCCCATGAAAATCTGCCACTAAATATACTCCACCCAGACCTGCGAGGCAGACAGGCGGAACAGATTTTATCCATGTTCCTGACTGTGCTGGGCCTTCCCACCTCCTCTCTCAGGCAGCCTGGCAAACTAAAACTTCTGCTGCCATCACACTTGCCAGTAACTGCTGCCTCCCACCACTTGGCCATGCAGAGCTGCAGGCACCAGGACTCAGAGGGCCTGGAGCGTTGTGGGAACTGATGAGCACTCCGGATGAAATGTCTAGCTTCGGTAGAAGGGCTGGGCCACAGCTGCCTTCCATCCTTTATCTGCTGTATGGGAGCACAGGGGCTGACAAAGCTGGAAGAGCTGGCCCGGGTCATGAATCCCAGTTGGACCGAGGCACCCGATCATTGATTGCATCTTTTATAGATTAAGTACTTGGCACTCGAGACACACTTCTTCATCATTACTAACTATCGGATGGGAAACTACCCCATATTTTTTTTCCAGGAATGATTTAAGCAACACAATTTAAAGAATAGTCCATTGTAAAAAAAAAAGAAAAAAAAAGAAAAGAAAAAGAAAAAAGAAAAAAGAAAAAGAAAAGGAAAAATGTGGAAGGCACCAGAATCTATTACTGGGGAAAGTTCTAGAATCATTTTTCAAAATTCCTGAGTCAAATGTCCATTAAGTCAAGGTTTCCATCCTTGTTAAAGGCATAGAATGAATAGATGTGGAAAGCCCCTTGCCAGAAGCCAATATTTCACATCTGAATGCACATCAGCATGCTTAAGAAAGAATCCTGCTTGTGGAAAAGTCTGATGGAATAAAAAAATTGCTAAACATGACAGGATACAGGATTAGCAAAAACCCTTGGCACTAATCAGGCATGTAATTGCTCAACCTGCCATCTGTGTAACATGCCAGCCAAGGCGAGGAGTTTCAACACAAGTGCCATCAATACTTTGGCTTCAAAAGGTCACAGCCAAGCATCAGGACTGCTAACGCCCACGTGTGCCTCTGCGAAACTTAGAAGGGAGAGCGGCCGAGGCAGAACAGAGAGAGGTCAGCTTGGCTGAGAGCAGGGCACACACACAGCAGGCTTGTGAGGCGAGACGAAGATAAAAGAAAACATGTGCCCTGTGGAGCGAGCAGTCTGTGTAATTGTATCAGGCCCAGGGCGGCCTGTCCCAGAGGGAGCAGCC